TTAGTAGAAAATAGTAATTGTACGAGCCCGAGTCTAGTACCTCGCCGGCGCTGTGGACTATGTGGGAAACATGGCCATAATATACGAACTTGTCAAAAAGGAGAAGAAATATGTGAGGATTCCGATTCTGAATACTGTAATTAATTTAATTAATTGTGTCGTGAGATATTTAAGAATTTATAAAATGCCAAGAAAAAAAATCCATTTCGCTTGGGAATCCAACTCGCTTGTGGACTACGTTACTACTTCTAATTATTAAGTACTAAAATGGTTTCTCCTTATAATTACCTAGTAGGAGGCGATAATTACTAGTTTTAAGTATTAGGGTTTTTTAATTATTATAAATACTAATAGTTCTATTATTATTATCAATAATTAATAGGTATAGTTTGGAACGCTTTATATTCTGTAACGCTCGCCAAGCTTAACGCTTCTAGAACGCTCCTAGGCGTATTAGCGCCAGGACACGGTCACACCACGCTGTGAAACCCCCCCCCCTGGCCTTTAAGGTAGATAGGTATCGTAAAGAAAGCCTTTTGCACTAGAAACATGACAATAAATTTGGGGAGTCAGTTGAGCTTCTATGGTAGGGGGTAGCTACCGTTCAAGGCAGGTGCATTCGCGTCAACTGGATATGTAGCAACCAACACTTGAACCCAGGCGCCAGATACAACGACAAAACCAAAACCAAAACCAGACAGAAACATCACCTCATCCACCAGCCAGATGTCGCGTCAATCTAAGAAGCGCAAGGTCGACGAAATGGCTACAGTCAAGAACGAAGAGGAAGACCTGCCCAGCCTTGGAAGATCCCTCAATTATGGAAGGTGAGCTTTTGTCATCGACATTCGCACCTGCTCAAGGTCCTCCTAACTTTCTACAGCGCTCTCGGTGCGGACGTTACTGCGTTTAAAGTTGGCAAGAACGAAACAATATTCCGGGTACACACGAAAATCTTGAGCGAAAAGGCCCCCTCCTTTTACACTCGCGCGGTTGAGGAGCAAGGTGGCTTGCTCCCAGCTCAAGAGCCTGCTATCTTTGGCCTTTTCGTCGAATGGATCTATACTGGACATATTCAGCAGATATCAAGGGCCGAGCGGGACAACTTGGATGGGGAAGAGGCCAATGCTCTAGAGGACTTGTTGTCTATGGAGCTACTCAGGTTGTATGGCTTTGGGCTGGAATTCAAAATTTCGCCTTTGATGGATCTCTGCATTACCAATTACATGAGAGATCCTTCAGCCTTCGATTTCGAACATTTTGAATACGCCTACGGCAATTTTGCGCCATGTCGGCTTCGAAAACTCTTTGTTCTTTTCTTAGCATACGAACTCACCTATGAGAACCCAAACCCTACTGGAGATATCGGAATACAAAAAATCGAAAGACGAGCGTACAGCAAGGAAGTTTCCAGGTCGTTAGGAAAGTTCGAGGATCTTAGGATGGATGTTGTTAGCTTCATGCTGGCTCCTACTACCCTTGAGCCTCTGAGGGACATGAAGTTGAATCCACTAGAACTGGACCCATGTCTGTTTCATGAACATGAGGGTTCCGAGGAGTGCAAAGCAAAGAAGAAGTGATTCCTTACCTCTAGACTCCGCGAGGATTCCAGGAATACGAGAGGGTAGAGTACGGAGGTATCAAACTGGGGTCTTGGGGAGATATATCCAGAGGAAATAATTGCTTACAGTTAGCCATTCTTGCGCTCTTGAGCTTGCCTTCGGGGGTTGGAATGAGCCGCTTTGCTGAAAGTCGAAGATGACAAGAATTGAAAGAAAAGATCTTCCACAGAAGCAGAAAAACCAAATCTGCCTTATCCACATGGTGACTGATAATTGATCTAACTGTAAACAAATAGCACTTGATACTTCCTACTCAGGTATCCCAACGTAGAAGGTCTAGTGATCAGAGGTGTGTTCAATTCGCTCTTTCCTGAATACTCTCCAGTCCACAGAGACAAAATCTTTACCTTCCAACCCAGCGCGCAGAACATCATTTTCTGCAAAAGCACACGAGTAAACCAATCAAATAAAATGGGAAAGAAGGGCATTGAACAGCCACAAGGCTTTGTCGCGTAGGTAATTCCATATATCCCCAAAAATCTCCTAACATCTCCCAGCACATTCGGCGTCCAAATGGTCGATCTCTTCATCGGCCCAACCAAACAACAATTCCGCGTCCACAAAACCCTCCTCTGCAACCGGGTAGAATACTTCCACAAAATGTTCTCAAGCGGATTCCTCGAAGCCGAAGAAAAGTCGGGATCCCTCCCAGACGAAGAACCCATCGTCTTCGCCCTCTTCCTCGAGTATCTCTACGGGGGAGGACGACTCAGTCCCGTCGACGTGACGTTGAGTACGCAATCCTCTGGCCCGATCGTGGATCGCATCAAACTCTATGGTTTCGCGGAACGGATCTGTTTGGTGGAGCTCGCCGACTATGTTATGACGAACTTGATTTCGAACTTGAAGCACTACGAGCGAACGCCGAGTCGAGAGGGGATCTTATTGGCGTACAAGGAGACGAGGACGGGGAGTTCGTTGAGGAGATATATGAGTTCGGCTTTGTACTATGTTATGAAGTATGAGACGGAGGATAGTCCTTGGACTGCGGAGGCACTTTGTGAGACGTTAAAGGAGGTGGATGACTTACTTTATGATTTGATTGTGGTCACGAGGAAGCATGAAGCTCATATACCGCCTGCCACGAAGAAATCTGTTGATCCGAGAATTGGGTCAAAGTGCCGATTCCATTCACATCCAGAGAATGCGGTTTGTTTGCTGAAGGGTGATATTTTATGAGAAGCATTGTCTATTGCAGGAATTATATGGCGTGGTTCCGAGAGAGATTATGAGATTTGTTACACGCACAAGGAAGCTGGGTACAATGTGCATCACTTGAATAGTTCAGTTTTGCAGACTTATGAGAGTTTTGCAGGACGGGAGGTATATTGAATTACATTTTTTGAGAGGCTTATTAATGAATCCACGTTTCAATTAAGCTGCCTTCCAACGCTTTCCGCCACCCTTCTGCCAAAGCCAAACAGCCTCCACAGCGTACACCTTACTCCCTTGATGCCCTCCAGAAGCATTTGTAGCCTCTTCAAGAGTGTCAAGAACCTTACCCTCTTCAATACATCTCCACAATCCTTTGTTGATCTCACTATCCTCATCTCCCCATTCACCTCTACCCAATCTATACAGAAGTCTCCCCAGGGTTTGGAATGCTATGCATCTCTGAGCAGGGTATGCCGACCTGCAAAGCCTAGCCAACTCTGGGACTGTGTACCCTGCAGCCTCAGGTGCTTCTCCGTGATGATGAAGACCTTTGGTGCTAGGCATAGCTCTCGAAATCCTTGGCGGCAATAAACCACCTCGGAAGTCGAAACGAAGAGCCGATGCTGGGAGAGCTTCATGGGCCGGATAGTACGGAGATTCTTGGTCTGCTATAGAACCATGTGTTGGTATAGGTGCCATCCAAGCTAGTTTGAAGGGGTCATTGGGCAAGTTTGGAAAGTATTTATTGTGTAAATTCTCGAGAAACTCGGGATCAGACGGATCGAGATCTTTGACTGGTGGTGGATTTGGAAAGTGTATCGCCGGATCCGAACTTGAGAGGTCTGCCAGAGAAGAGCCAGTCGTGGCGTCGACAGGTTTGTCGTCCCCTTCAAATCGTACGGACTTCTCGGCAGCGACCAGACCCCCTGCTGGTTTAGGAGCTGGTACAATTTTGACAGGCCCTCCAACTTTCGGTTTGGCTTTTCTCTCGTCCTCTTTGCGCGACGAAGGAGGCTCTATACCAGTATCTCCACGGCCTTCATCCAAATTTGCCCGCCTTAAGAATCTCTCAATCAGGGACGGGTTCAATCCAGCCATAAGCTCCTGTCTTTCCTCCTCAATTTCTTCTGCAGACATGGCATCCAACTTCTTTTTGTTCTCCTCGTCGATCCTTCGCCGCTCCTCAGCATCAAATCCATCATTTCGTAAATCGCGGGGCGCTGGTCGCGATGGAATTTGTGCTGCTGGCGTCACAACCTTTTTAGCTTTTGGATCCGTGGACGCCGCGACTCCTCCCCTCTGTTGCTTGAAAGTCGAAATTCTCGTCCTCTTTTTGTGTTCGGGAAAGCCGGTCGGAGTGCTCTTCATCTTGGGCGCGGAAGGAGGGGCAACTTCGCGTTCCTGTATGTCGCCGATGAAGGGGAGGTTTGGAAGGCCATTTGATGGTATTCGAGAGGGAGACGCGCGCTCATCTTCGTCGTCCGAGAGGTCGACCACAAATCGTTGTCCTCGTAAATCCATATTGTGTTGTGGTCGTTGGATGCGAAAGCAAAAAAGGGACGACATCTGAGGTTGGGAATTATGAATCAGCTTATCTAATCGCGGCCCCACTCTTTTGGCTCTCGCTAAACCCCTTTTCACTTCATTCCACCAGATTCCAACTTCACTTGAAAGGTTCGGCGTCAAGACTGTTTGTAGGTGAAGGTCCAAAGAAAGTAAAACACGAATACCAGCATCCTTGATTATTCAAGCGGCAAGAAATTTTCAAACTCACAGTGATAGCTTTTGAACTTGAGTTCCACATACATCCTAGATACAAGAACCTTCCGAGAATTTCCCACGTAGTATCCAGAGGTTTCAAGGGTCTTTCGAATGATCAACCTAAAATGTTTCTCGTTTGTTCAGGATACTTGACTATAAGGGCAGGATGTCGGTATTTTGTGTTTCTTGGATGGTATCTCATATGGGTGTTTACTCTAAAAGATATAAGTTTGTCAGTTTTGTTACATAGAATCAATTCTCGTTCGGCTGGTTTGCTTTGAAGGAAGCTTGCAGCAGCATATACGATAACCGTTAATAGGCTGTTTTCCGAGGAGGTTCTCGAAGGTATGTTATCATCGAAAATTGCAAGACTATAAGTCCATTGAAAAAAATTGGCAAGTATGAATACAGTTCATGAATACAGGCTGTGTAGATGTCTGCCAATCAGGCCCAACGTGTAAAAGCTTCAATATTCTACTGCCTTGTGCCTTGTGCCTCATTCTAAAATATATCGACCAGCTTGATAAATACCAAGGAGACTTGATTTCGAAAAACTTTTAGTCAGAGTTTCCATTAGCGCAAGATACCCATCTTTCATTCGATTTGCGTAGGCGCTGTATTTGTTTTGGTATTAAAGCCGACATCTACATGGTATTTGCTCGAGGTTGGCCCCTTCAACTCCTTAACTCCAGAATTTCCAAAACTACGGAAAACAGGCCGCTTAGAAGAGTCAATATTCAAGGTAATATCAAAACAAAAACACCAGGTCTCATACTCGAGTTCGGGTCTTGTTGAGTCTTGGCTGCGAGGCATCATACTTGTGTTCTCTAGACGCCGAGCTTGTTTACGGGTAGCAGATTCACTATATAGGTACCCACATACATACCCACATACATTTCCGAGGTTTTCCCTCTATAACCACAAATAAGACAGCCGGTTCTCGTATTCAACCTGATGGTAACATCACTTTCGCAATACAATTGGGCAAGCGCCGATGACAAGGCATAAAACTGTGACCCCGCGGCCTATCGAGAGCGAAGTAATAAACCGGCTAGAAATAGTGTCTGTGTTTCCTCATAATTAGGTTTTTGCAATCATTTGTGGTGGTTTTATATTTTTTTTGGTGGCTGTTTAGAATTCCCTCCATGCTCGCGTGGCGCTGCACAACGTCTCGTCGCGCCTGCCTTGGATAAAATTCACTTCCTCCCTTTTCAACGTCAACACCTGCATTCTAGAAGTATATCCACCAGGCCACCCGAGAGACACTATACTCTCCCTTTGAGTTGCAAAGTCGTCACCATCGACTCACCCCAAGGGGATCCAAGGGGAGATTCAACTCTATATACTCGCATCGCAGCATCGAGACATCCTCATGGAGGGCTCTCTCCAAGACAAGCGGTCCAATATGAATGTTCGTCAGCTCTTGATTCTTGCCCAATTCCAATTTTCGAAAAGAGCTAATGAAGGTGTGTTACAGAGCCAGAATAATTATCCAGTGGTCCACAACCCACCAGGCTCGCAATACTTCAACCCCCACTTCCTTCATGGTCCTCAACAGCCCGCGTTCCTACATCCAGCCAACCCAAATAGCCCAGGCCAGCCCCCTATCGCCATGGGCCCCTCCTTGCAAGCCAATCGTCAAGCCTCGCCTTACCAAGGACAGCCCTTTGGATACCCGCCACCCATCCGGATGCCCCACCATCAACCTGGAGGTCCGCCATTAGATCCCGTCCTGCAGGACATCTTGGATAAGATAAAGAGTCTCCGACTCGCTGTGGAGGGTATCCGCAGCGTTCAGAAAGACTCTGTTGCATCAGCAGCAACCGACAATGTTAGAATCGCCAAATTGGAAGGCTTCGTTGGCAATTTGAACATGACAGACGACAGAACGAGAATTTCTGAGTTAGAAAGCGAGGTTGCGATATTGAGAGCGGAGATCGATGCTTTACGACCCATTTTAACTCCTACTCCCTTAGATTCGGACCCTCCAAACATCACTCGCGGGCGAGAACTTTCTGTGGAATTGGGACCAGAGAATGATGTGAAGAAGGGGGAATTGGAACCAGAGAATCATGGGATAAAAAGAGAATTGCAGGTGGAACCAGAGAATCGTAGGAAGAAGACGCAATCAGAACCAGTGAATCGTGGGAAGAAGAGACAATTGGAACCAGAGAATAATGGCAAGAAGGGAAATTCAACATCGACGAAAAGATATGGCATGAGGTCGAACAGCAACGACAATGGTCATGCTCAAAAAAAGGCAGAACGACAGAAATCAGGTTAGAACGAGGCGCTCTGAGTTCCTTCTTCTGTGAAGGCAGCAAGATGTTGCGCAACTTGGGACGCATCTGAAAAAAACCTGAGAGGTTGTCGGGAAGACTTTAGCTTCACACTGGCTTCGTGCAATGTATTCTTTTAAGGTTGATTGAGACCACGGGCCGTGTTTAAACTTCTAGATAGGAGGTTATAGATAGCGAGGGCTTTCGAAGCTATCAAAGTTGTACATCAATACAATAACTTAACGCAAGCAACTCCCAGAATTCCCGTCTTGATCAAATCTCTGTAAGGGAAAGAATTGACATAAAACGCATGGAGTACAATAAGTGCCATAATTGATTATCCGGCCGACCCCGCAGCAAACAAAGACTCTGTATATGAGTTGTCGTTATTAGGTCCTCGGATTAGCCTGCATTAATCAGGCTCCTGGGTATTTGAGCTCGGAGCACTGGTAGATAGCTTTACCAATTCATCTCACTTTCTCATCAACGTGGAGTCTTAGCATGTACAAAACCCAGCCCTACACAGTTCCTGTATTAGTAACAAGTATTGCATTCTTTCTGAAAAGCACTTACGTGCATACCCCTTTAAGCCCACCACAAGGGCCGCAATCCGCATTAACAAGACAATTATGAATTCCCTGAGCTGCTACTTCCGCTACGCTTAAGAGCGTGACGAGGGAGATCAGAGCGAGTTTGGCTGTTGCGAAGCGCATGTTGGGATTTGTTGCTTATATATACTCAAGAGTAGGAAAGATATAGGGGCACACGAAGACTGTTTAGAAAGTAGCTCGGGG